TTTCGCAGCGAGAAACGAGCCGATCTGGGACCTGAACGCAGAGTTCCGACCTGAAACTCAAACTCCGGTTCTGATGACGGCCCCCAGCGGCAGGAGAGTCCAAGGGTGGAGTGTTTCCCAGGAAATGTCTAATTTGATCCTGCCATTCAGGACGTGAGGTCACAACGGCCATAATCCCCATATTACAGACCAGGGCCCTGAGGCGCCGAGCATCCCGGCAGGCTGCTGCAGGCCCTGTTAGCGAGCCCATGGCTGGTCCCGGCCAGGGGACCCGGTTGTTTGAGCATCGTCTCGTACACCAGAAGGTTGTGGGTTCGATTCAGGATCAGGGCACGCACCTGGGTTCAGGTTTGATCTCTGGTTGAGGGCAAGTGCGGGAGGCAACTGGTTGGAGTTTATCTCACATCGTGTTTGTTCTCTCCCTCTCTCTCCCTCCCTCTGTCTCTGTGATCAGTTAAAAGGCATGTCCCCAGGGGAGGGTGAAGAAAAAGGGCTGAGCTGAAGCCAACCCGTGTCCCTCCTGCTCTCCCGTGGAGGCCAGGGCACCTCGTTTGGCCTCTGCCCGCTTCCAGCACGGAGGTGGGCACCGGAGCCTCGTGGAGGGAACTTGATTCTGTGAACAGAGTTGTCCTCTAAGCCCGCCCGCCACACCGTGTCCTTGCCGGTCTCCGGCCTCCGCTCCTGACTCCTGTCCGATGGCCGGCCTGCTCTGCCCGCAGCACCAGCAGCTGGACGCGAGGGGCGGGAGCCGTGCGGGGCTCCCAGTGGGGCTTTGTGATGAGTGGCAGCCCCGTGGGCCCTCTGTGGTCAGGGGGAGGGAGGCAGCTTCCCAGAAACAGTGCCCGCTGCTCCTGTCGGATCTCCAGGGCTCCGAGGGCATGTGAGCCGGCCCTGTCCTTCCCTCCCCGCTCCCCAGGATCTGAGGAGCATTCACAGCAGAGAGGAAGCAGCCTTGGCCCCGTGCCCCCCTTTCCACCTCCCCCCGCTGCTCCCAGGCTGGGCACTGCCCTGGAGGCATTCATTAGCACAGCAGCTGGAGCCTCCTTTGAGCTGAGCCTGGGCACCGAGCAGACAGCAGGTGCAGTGCCCTCGGCCTCACCAGCTCCTTAACAATGATGGCGCCACCGCTGACAGGTTCTTACAACTCAGCTTTACAGAAGCCCTATGAGAACGGTGCCATTGTTATCCCATTTTACAGAGGGGGAAACTGAGGCACAGGGAGGTGAAGTCATGTACCCAGGGTCACAGAGCTAGTAGGAGGCAGAGAAGGGATGTCACCCAAGCAGTGTTGCCTAGGAGATGACACTGCGTCCCCACGTCCCCATGCGCCACTGCTGGCCCTTCCTACCCCCTGGGGAGGGTGCCAGCACCAGCGGAGGGAAAGGGGCTGGGCTGGGGCCTGGCCAGGGGCGTAGGCAGCCGCAGAGATGAATGCTGTAAGCTGCAGGGGGAGTCCCTGGGGCCTCCCCCCCCCCCACAGGGCCCCCTGCAAAGCCTCCTCTCCCCACCCCGCCCAGCCTGGCACTCAGCGAGGAAGCCTCTTCTTGGCCTTCCCATTGGCAACCGAGCAGACAACAGGCCAGGAATAGCCTCAGATCACCTGAGGCCGAAGCACCCTTCCACCCCCCGGGCTCACTGCTCCGGGTCATGGCTCCCTCAGTGACTTCCAGCAGCCGGGCACCCAGACACGTCCCCATCCTCAGCCCCAGGCCTGGGGGACCGCCCCTGCCGTGCCAGTCTCGGCGGCCTGGCGCTCGGTGGGCTGGAGCATCGGGCCAGGGGAGCGGGGACTCGGGTGGCTGCGTCTGTGACGACGACCGTGCACAGGCCCGCCCTTCCGGTTTCCAGGTAATTCTCTGCCTCATTTGTTCCGAAGTCACGCAGGCCGCAGACAGGAAGTGGGCCGCAGACACCCCCGGCACAGCATCCTCCTGGCTTCCTTTTCCGATGCGGTGGGAACAGACTCGTTCAGGAGGGTCCTCAGCTGAGGGAGGCCCCTGGGAAGCCAAGTCCGTGTGCAAAAGTGACCTCTGGGTGGTTCGGGTCAGTGCCCAGCTCCAGGAGGTTCTGAGAGCCACCCCGGGCAGGGACAGTGCCCGGCCTGGCGGTGGCAGAGTGCTCTGGGCGGAGGACAGACAGCTCCCAGGCTCCCGGCACCAGGCCCTGAGGCCAGGCCGGTGTTTCTGGGCGGCAGGGCGAGGGGCAGCCGGCTCCCCCGCTGGGGGAAGGTGTCTCCACATCTGCCTGGTGCTTTTCCAAACGAGGACTCCACGGCAGCCCTGGGGAGCCAGCTGCCGGGAGCCATCTTTCCACGTAATTAAAGCCAGTCCAGCCCTAGCCAGTTTGGCTCAATGGATAGAGTGTCAGCCCACAGCCTGAAGGGTCCTGGGTTCGATTCTGGTCAAGGGCACATACCTCGGTTGCAGGCTCAATCCCGGGCCCCCAGTTGGGGTGCAGGCAGGAGGCAACCAATCGATGTGTCTCTCACATTGACGTTTCTCTCTGTGTCTCTCACACACTCACTCTAAAAATCAATGGGAAAATATTTCCAGGTGAAACTTCACAACAAAGAAGCTGCTTTGCCACCTTCCCCAGGGCGGGAGGGGGATGTGGGGTTCTGAGCACCCTGGCGCTCTCTGCAGCATCCGGCAGCGAACACGGGACAGGACGGCCGGGTGTCCCTGCAGCCCAGGCTCCTAAAGCCCCTCCCCAAAGAGCCACGGGCCACTCTCACGGAAGAGAGAGAGAAGGAGGGAGGGAGGGAAGGAGCAGAAATAGAGAAGGAGGGGGGAAAGGGAAAGAAAGAAAAGAAGGAAAGGATAGAAAAGGAACAAGCCCTTTGTGACAGAACTCGACTCCCTGTAAAAGTTCTCAGGGGAAATGGCCTGTCAAATAATTTCAAGGAAATGACATTTTGACAACCAGCAAAGGAGGCTTCCTCCCACTTCCTGCCATCCATCTCCATTTCTCTCTCGGACCTCTCTCCTCCCGCCCTCAGTTCATCCTCTGACACGCGGGCCCTCCGGTCCTCCCTCCTGCCCTCCTCCCGCGGCAGCTGAGCGCTCCCTCCCTGATGGCGCTACGTTAGGAAATCACTGAAACCCAAATCTCAGATTGTTCCAGATTCCTCCGCGCCTCCCCCAGGACCGGCTCCGGACATGACTGCAGCGGTAGTCAGCACCGAGCACAGCCGCTCATCCCACCAGGGAGGCCCCCCACCCAGACCGTGCCAAGTCACGTGTGACTCCCGCAGCGGGGGCTGCACCTGTCCGGGCCTCCCTTCACTCATCCCAGCAAGATAGGGTGCAAAAGCTCTCGTTCTGGGGTCCCCACTGTGCCTGCCCTCGGATGGGCACGTACAAGCTTGTGCGGGTGAGAACAGCTAAGGAGCCCCGTGCAGGGGACACCATCCCGCTGGCTTGGCCCTGCCCGCCCCAGGTCTCCCAGCCCACCGTGGGGCAGAGGGCAGGAGTCCCGCTCAGTGCTCTGTGTGGGAGGTGCTGCCCAGAGGTGCCCAGGGGCTCGCCACCAGCCCTGCCAGCCTCGGTGTGCCCTTGTTTGGTGGTAAAGCTGGTCTGAGGTCAGGCAGATTCACTAATTCCCTTTTTACAGCTGGGGTGGGGAACCTTTTTGCTGCCAAGAGCCATTTGCATATTTATAACATCATTCTTGGGCCATTCAAAACGATTAACTTCAAAATTATGTTGCTGTGAAAAAAAACACACCTAGATTTATTGAATTTAAAAAATATATATTTTATTGATTTTTTGTTTGTTTGTTTTTACAGAGAGGAAGGGAAAGGGACAGAAAGTCAGAAACATGGATGAGAGAGAAACACTGATCAGCCGCCTCCTACATACCCCCAACCAAGGCACATGCCCCCCAACCCGGGACCCTTGAGTCCACAGGCCGACGCTCTATCCACTGAGCCAAACCGGCCAAGGCGAGACTTATTGAATTTTGAGTCCTGCCTGCAGTTGCCTTGGCAGGGCAGGACAGAAGGACACGGCCCCCAGGCCGGACGTTCTCCAGAGCTGAGACAGCTGGCAGTCAGGTTACCCAGGGCCCTGTCTCCTCTCCGCAGCTCCGGCGGCCACAGCTTCTTTCCTAACCAAGCACTCGGTGCTGCTCGTTGCCCTGGACACCCCCGTTGTCAGCTGTGCGTCTCACCACCATCTTGGGAAAAGCTTGTCATGGCCGTTGGACAAATAGAGAAAGGAGGGCTCCGGAGGATGAAAGGCTTTGTCCAAAGTTGTACAGCAAACGAGCGGCAGAGCTGGGACTGCATATGGCATCGGGACTCCCCAGGCTGTGCCACAGCTTAAGACCCATGTGAGTGGACAGGAAATAATAATGAGGAGGATAGCCTGGATGGTGTGGCTCAGGGGTTGAGTGTCAGCCTATGAACCAGGTGGTCACCGTTCGATTCCCGGTCAGGGAACATGTCTGGGTCGTGGGCCGTGCAGGAGGCAGCCATCAATGATTCTCGTCACTGGAATGTCTACCTCTCCTTCTCCCTTCCTCTCTGAAGTCAATAAAAATAGTTGATTTTTGTTTGTTTGTTTTTTAGAAAAGAAGTATAGCACTTCAGGGTCTGTGCTAAACACCTCAGGCATCGCCCCATTCATTCCTGAACGCTGGTGAGAAAGATAAATTAACGTCCCCATTTCACAGATGAAGACACTGAGGCTGAGAGAGGTTTGTCCAAAGCCACACAGCAAATGACAGAGGGCTCCAGGTCAGACAGCTTGTGGGGGCAGGATCCAGGCCGGGGTAGGTGAAGAATTCCAGCTGGGGGGATGGGGACCAGGCCTCGGGATCAGGGATTAGGGCTGCCTTGCAGGCGCAGCGCTGTCGGCCCTCCCTGAGTCTGGGACAGAGTTGAGTTGGTGGAGGAGGAAGCAGGTAACATTTGACTCCGTTCCAACGAGTCAAGAGGTTTATCTCGACACGTTATTGTACTTCCTGTAACGGCTTATCAGTCCTAAGAACTGTGGTATCGACCCGTTATCTCGCATGGTTATTGGACTGGGAGCACTTGACAAACACGACTGCAGCAGGTAAGCCCTCAGCCTCCTTCCTCAGGGCTCTTAGCTCTGCCTGCTCCCAGGCCCGTGAAAGCAGGGACCATGGCCGCCTGTCCACCATCACATCCCCGCGACTAGCACAGTGCCTGCCACATAGGCAGCCACCCCACGGTGCACGCCTGCCCAATGAATGACTCCCTAATGGCCTCTTTCCACTCCGTTGCTCTTCACTGGGTGCCAGACACCGCTGATGGGGAGATACATGGACATGGGACCGGCCTGAAGGAGGACTCAGTCCAGAATGGGGGCAGAACACAGCTGTCAGTACCACTTTAAATGCTTTTTAGACTAATGTAGAGCATGAATCAATTCACCAATGACGGCTTATCAGAGCCGCTGGGAATTCAGAAAAAGGACCATGGATCGTCCAGGGGAGTGGACGGAGGCTCGGCTGGCGGAGGGTGTGGTGTGGTTTCAGCCTAGAGGAGGGGAGTCTGCCTTAAGGCAGGCGGGATGGGTGCAAGCAGAGAGGCCAGTCCTGCGCAGGGGCCTGCAGGTGTGAAGTCCCTGCTTGAGGCTGGAGATGCCTCATGGGGACCAGCCACCATCACATATTCCCCTCGCGGTGGGATTGAGACATTGAATCATAAGAAGCAAGAAAGAGCTCCTGAAGTAGGCATTGTGCCTCAGGCTCATCTCCTTAGATTCCGTTCAGTCATTCTGTGTAGAGACAAAATGTGGCTCATTTTCTCAGTAAAAGCATTTCCAAAAACACCAAGGGGCAATCTAGGGCCCGGGTGCCAATGGCTCGGGGTTTTGGCGGCCAGGAGGGAGCAGGGTGCCAGCCAGTATTGACACGACCCAGAGGTCAAGTGCAGGGGTGCCTCCTGGCACCCTGCAGAACTCCCAGGTCCCAGTCCCACACACAGCCCCGCCCCTCCTGGCTAGGTAGCCAGCCTCTGGCCTCTGCCCCCGGCCCCCAAACTCGGAGACAAGAAGAGGGGTGGGCTGCTTGGGGGCTCCTAGGAAGAAGGGGGCTGCCTGCAAACCTGCTGACTCAGGCTCCACCAGGTACCGCGTCCTGCACCGCCCGCCGGGAGGCCCCGCCTCAGTGTTTGCCCTGCTCTCGGCCCAGTCCTGCTCCGAACTGGGAATTTTCAGGCCTAAGGGGAAAGTCCCTTGAGAGGAATGTTCGAAAGAGAGCGAGCTCACCGGATCCGCCTCGAGAGCGCGGAAGGAAGGAAAAGCTCTCTCCCCGGCGGGCGGCGCGGCGGTGGCGGGCTGCAGGGCGCGGAGCTGAGCAGCAGAAGCGGCGACTGGAAGACGGGCGGGGAAGCCCGGCCCGGGTGGGGGCGGGGAGGCGGCTCAGTGGGCCTCTGGAGTGTGTGTTGCGTGTGTGTGTGTGTGTGTGTGTGTGTGTGTGTGTGTCTGGCGCCTGTCCAACGTAATTTCCCATAAACCACATGCCTAAGTCGCTTAAAAGGCCGTGCCGAGGCGCTGGCCGGCGGAGCCGCCGGGAAAGTGAAAGTTCGCCTGGTGCTCCGGGCGCCGCCGCCGGCTCTCCGCACTCCCGGGACAGCGGCGCGGCCTCGGCGGGGCGCGGACTGCGCGGCGGCCGGCGAGCGAGCGAGCAGGCGAGGGCGGCCGAGGCGCCGGGCCGGGACCCAGCTGCCCGCATGACCGCGCGGGGCGCCGCCGGGCGCTGCCCTCCCACGGTAAGCGGCGGGCGGGCGGGCGCGGGCCGGGCTGCGGCTGGAGCTCGGCGGCCGCGCGGTCCCTGGACCCGCTGCCCTGCCTGCGTGCGCCGGCTGCGGGGGCTCCGGGGGCTCCGGGGGCTCCGGCTGCAGGGGCTCCGGGGGCGCCGGCTGCAGGGGCTCCGGGGGCGCCGGCTGCAGGGGCTCCGGGGGCTCCGGCTGCAGGGGCTCCGGTCGCCTTCCCATCTTTGCACGCGAGCGGCCCCGCGGCCCCTGCTGAGCCCCGCTGCGGCCCTGCGCGGCTCCTGGGGCTGCGGCGCTTCCCGGGAAAAGGGAAGGAAGGCTCCTAGCCCCGCTGCACGGAGGGGCACACTGAACCCCGGGCAGCGGGAGAGAGGGGTCTCAGCCGGAGGCCCCCGCCCCTCTCCCTTCGGACGGACCAGCCGCCCAGGGACCCGCGCGCGGTGTGACTGGTGAGGCGCCTTCCCCTGTGGGCATCTTCCTGGTCGCCCCGCACACGCCTGGAGGCCCTGCTGGGGAGCGGGCGCTTCTGGCTGGAGAGAGTGCAGGGGTCACCGGCTTTAGGATGCCAGGGCTTGTGCCAGGAACTGCTGGCACCGGAAGGAGCCGGGCAAGCCGCTGCTTGTTCCAGCTCCCAGACGGAGCTGCCGGGGACCAGGATGGTAGGCTCCGGTCTGTTTGGGGGGGACCAGAACCCAGAGTTGCCGGAGGATGGCTGTGGATCTTTTTCTTGCAAACTCGGGCGCAGTTCGTCGGGGAGAGCTTGGGCTCGGCGGCCGCAGGCGGTGGTAGGGAGCCGGGGAGGGAGCCGGGGACAGACGCTGCGCTGCTGGGGCTGCATGGGCCAGGCAGCAGCTGCCACGGCTCCGGAACCGAAGCGGGCATTGGAGGAACAGCGAGCGGCCTCCGGAGGAGAATGGGCGGGGAAGCTGGAGAAGAGAAGCGGAGCAGGGGCTGCAGGGTCGGGGAAGGGGCTGCAGGTGGGGTGAGGGAGGGCAGAGCAAATCCCCAGGGAGGAAGGGCCCAACTGAGAGAGGAGAGGGCTGAGAAGGCAGCTGGGAGGGCGAGGAGAGGCGCAGCCAGGTCGGGACAGGGGCTGAAGAAGGAGGAGGTGAGCAAAGGGAGCTGGTTTTATTTTTTTAATTTTATTTATTTACACATTTTAATCCTCACATGAGGGTATGTTTTTATTGATTTTAGAGGCACAGAAAGGGAGAGGGAGAAAGCCTGAGAAACATCGATGTGAGTGAGAAACATTGATCAGTTGCCTCTCATATGTATACCTTGACCTGGGGTGGAACCCGCAGCCTGGGTATGTGAGCTGACCGGGTATTGAACCTGCAGCGTCTTGATGTTCGGGGATGATGCTCCAACCCACTGAGCCACCCGACTGGGGCTGGGGTGGGGGTAGGGTTAGCAGGGCGGCCCGAGGGTCTCTGAGGGACTTGGCTGATGGGGAAGGTGGAACAGGATGGGAGGCAGGTGAGGAGGGACCGCACCTCTGAGCCCTGGGCAGAGATTCCTGCCGGGTGCCCCCAGAGGCCAGGCTGGTGGGTGGGAGGAAAAAGGAGGTGGGAGAAGAGGCAGCCCAGCCAGATACAAGCCAGACTGTTAACCCTCGGGTGCCCGTTCAGATCCTCTGAGGCCACATCGGGCCCCCGGGGCAGGGCATCTCCCCGTTGGCGGCACTGTCCGCACACCCGTGCCTGAAATAGCTCCGAAAGCCAGGCGGTTCTGAGGCTCAGCATTGCCTCTCCCCCCGCCCCCCAACCTCACTGTCTTGAAGTGCCTGGGACAAGGATGTCTTCCTGAGCATCCTTCCCCCCGCTCCCCCTCCCCAATGGAGCCATGCTGTGCCTCCTCTCTGCCACCAACGTCTCCCATCTTCCCAGGCCCCTGAGGCCCCTCCTCCCTGCGGCCGCCCTGGTAGCCCGGCCAGGCCTCCTCTCCCGGGTGAGAGCTGGCGAACATTGAGCTCTCAGTTATATGTAAATCAGCGTGTCACTGGGGCCTTGTGTTTTTCCAGGCGCTGTTTATTGGCAGCATTTGTCTTATCCTCTGGGTTACTGAGACAGAGCCCGGAGCCTAGGAAGGTGCCAGCCCTCACCCCACCCTAGCAGCATGTCTCTGAATTTGGGGGAGACTTAGGGCCGGGGCAGGGGGGGTGGGGAGGGGAGGGCTAAAGGGTGAGGATGAGGGAGAGAGGAAAGAAGGGGAATGAATGACAGGGTGTCAGGAGCCAGTTCTCTGACTTTCCTCGCAGTTGCTGGGTTGAGAGGAGACAGCTCAGGAAACATCCTGGCCGTGCTAAGAGCTGGCCGGCTGGCTGGCTGGCTGGCTGGCAGGCGGTACGGCACGATGGGGCTCCGCTAGGCAGGTGTCAGCCGGGACAGACGGACTGGCGCTCGCATGGCCGCTGCCTGCTGTTGATTTTGACACACAGGCGCCCAGGGCTCCTCAGGCCTCTAGCACGGGACAGGTTCCCAGCAAAACCGAGTTTGTTTCCAGCAGCAGAGCCAGACCTGTGTGGGAGCAGGTGGGAGGAAGGGCTGGACCCGAGGGATCTGTTTCTGGCTCACAGTCTGGAAGCCGGTGCATGGACATGAACTTGAGAGGAATGGGCAGGTCATACGATGCCTGGCTCAGCGTTTGATGCTGCAAGACCAGGAAAATGGAATGCAGAAGCGAGTCCTGTATTCAAGGGGTTTCTTGTGAAACTAGAATTTTGGCTGGGAGGCATCCCTCCCAGGTCCTCATTACAGTTCACTGTGTAGTCAGGCTTGGCCTGGGTAAATCTGGGAAGGCTTCCTGGAGGAGACGACACTCTGTCATCGAGGGAGAGCAAGGTTGTTTCGAGGCTGTTGGGCAATCCCCAGAAGCCGGGTTTGGGGAAGGCTGCGTCCTGGGGTGAGGCATAGCGCCTGTAGCCTTGTAGGTGTGAGGGGGGACCATGGGGAGATGGTGGGGAGAGTAAGAGCTGAGGAGAACTGGTGCTCTCTCTGTCACAGACATGGCTGGGCCCCCGGCTACTGCTGGTCTGTCTCCTGGTGAACAGGAGTATCACCGAGGAGGAGTCGAAGCACTGTAGCCACATGATCGGGGACGGACACCTGCAGCTGCTGCAGCAGATGGTGAGTGTGTGTGCGTGGCCAAGCCTATCCCACCGTCTCCTCAGGGGGAAACTGAGGCAGGAGCCAGGGAGGAGGTCAAAGAGACGGGTGGCAGGCGGAGAAACGGCTGTGCGGGACATTGCTCCCCGGATGCTCCCTCATTGACCTTCTGGAGGTCAGGGCCTCTGACCCCTGCAGGCATGGTGGGCTCCCGGCTGACTGCCTGGGTAAAGGGTTGCCTGGAATGTCCACCACAGGTTCTCCCTGTGGAGCCTGCCGTCCGTCCCTCAGTGGGATGCTTCCCAAGGAGCCAGCCCTGTCTGCCTGCTGTGCCCACATGTTCCCACTGGCTCCCAACTGGGACACCAGCCCGGCCCCAGGGCCTCCCCGGATTTGGAGTGCAGGCTCCGGCCTGACTCCCAGCCCTCCGCCCTCGTAGCCCTGGCTCCTGCTTGAGCCCTAGGGCTGGGCCGGCCGGCTCACCCTGGCCCTCCTGACAGGGCCAGCAGAGGCATCACCAGTTCCCAGCGTGGCTCGGCCAAGCAGAGTCCGTTTGCCGTCATGGCTGTTGTTCTGCTCAGAACAGCGTTTCCCATCCCTCCGGCCAGCCAGGCAGGGTGGGGCACCGCCGGTGAAGGCCAGCTCCCGGGCCCTGAGCTTGGGGCCTGCAGGCTGGGCCTCCTGCCTCTTTTCCTCCTCTGCGTTGCTGCCACGGAAACCCAGGCTTAGAATCACAGAACCACTGCTGGGGGAGGGGGTTGGGGGGCGCAACAGGGGCTTTCGGGGCATTAAACCCCAGCCCGTACAGATCCTGAATCCCCAGCACTTGTCTAGCCTCTGCTTGAATTCCTGCCGTGACAGGGAGCTCAATACCACCCACAGGAGCTGATGTCATGGAGGGGGAAGTCGAAGGAAAAGCATTCTTATCCTTTGCCAGCCCTCCCTTGGGCATGTGGGAGGCCCGAGGGAGGGCTGGCAAAGGATGAGAAGGTCTGCCCCTATTTTCTCTCCACGTGTGGTTGGGGAAAGTAGATGAGGCTCAAACCCCGATCCACCCAGAAACTCTAGGCCCCACTGTTAGGCGAGCTCAGCCGAGCTGCGGACGCCCTGCCACCGCCGGCCGCTCTCTCTTACAGATTGACAGTCAGATGGAGACCGGATGCAAAATCCCCTTCCAGTTTGTGAACGAGGATCAGCTGGTGAGTTATGGGCCCCGACGGGGATGCACTCCTCGGGGCGGGCAGAGTGGGAGCATGAGGGCTGGCGAAACCCTGGAGCTGGGCAGGATGAGGTGTGAGGACCCCTGGGTGCCCAAGTCTGGGGTGCCAGGGTCCAGGGCTGGGCAGGATCAGGGGCTCCCTTTTCCTGGCCGGGCACATGCCCACATCTTCTTATGGGCCAGGTGCTTTTCTTTTCTTTTTTAAAAAAAATATTTTATTATTATATTAGTATTAAATTACAGAGAGGAAGGGAGAAAGAGAGAGAGTTAGAAACCTTAATGAGAAACATCGATCAGCTGCCTCCGGCACGCCCCCTACCGGGGATGTGCCTGCAACCAAGGTACGTGCCCTTGACCGGAATCAAACCCGGAACCACCCAGTCCGCAGGCGCTATCCACTGAGCCACACCAGTTCGGGCATGGGCCAGGCGCTGTTCTAATTTAGTCTTGATGGAACCGCCTTGTTGATGGTCCCCAGAGAGATGGAGGGAGCACAGCTAGTAAGCGGTGGAGGTCTGATCCGCGCCGAGCAGGCTGACTCCGGGGCAGGCAGGCGCTTCTGGCACCGGCTTTGCTTATGGAAGACACCTCTGTGTAGATGACAGACCAGCAGCCAGGAGACCGGTCCAGCCCTTTCCGCGTCCTCCTGCCCCGGCCCCCAACCAGACACCAAGTGATGGTGGGTTGGCCTCCCCATCAGTTGCTTTGACAATTTCTAGTCCTTCCCAAAAATCCTCACGGCTGCCAGTGCACCCCTCATCCCGCCACTAAGGGGAGCTCTCGGGACCCTAACCTGCTACTTCCTTTTCCCTCCCCCAGACTCGTCAGGGCCCCCTCATCCAGAAAAAAGCCTACCCACTACCCCCATCTCTTGCTCCTTTCTTCCCACAAGCCTGTGACACCTGGCCAGCGCCCCCACCTTAGCCCTCGTCCCGAGTCTGCTCCTCTCTGTGCCCCATCCCGAGGCCCCGCGATGCCCAGAAGTTGTCCCCATCTCTGAGCCTCTCCACACCTGACCCATACATACCCTGCCAGCTCGGGAGGCCACTTCCCCTTGCAGGGAACAACCTCTGTGTCTCATTCATTGGCCACCAGGAATGCTCCATCCAGAAAGTGAAGCTCTCTCTAATCAGATTCCACATTTCCCTCCCTGCACCCCAACCCTCAGGGTGCCAGATCCCAAAGAGAGAGAGCGAAACGCCAGCGAGGGCAGCAGCCTCGTGGTCGGCAAACTCATTAGCCAGCAGAGCCAAATATCAACAGGACAACGATTGAAATTCCTTTTGAGAGCCGAATTTTTTAAACTTAGACTTCTTCTAGCGCCACTTCTTCACCATAGACTCGCCCAGGCCGTGGTATTTTGTGGAGGAGCCACACTCAAGGGGCCAAAGGGCCGCATGTGGCTCGAGAGCCGCGGTTTGCCCACCACGGGGCCAGGCCATCCACTCCAGGTTGTCCTTTTCCAGGAAGACCGCGTGTGTTACATTAAGAAAGCCTTTTCCTTGGCACAAGACATCATGCAGGAAACCATCAGCTTCAAAGACAACACCGCCAACGCTATCGCCCTGGTGAAGCTCCTGGAGCTCTCTGTGAGGCTGAAGGACTGCTTCCCCCAGGTCTCCGAGGAGCACGACACGGTAGGAGGCCCTGGAGCCGGAGCCCGGGTCAGGGCGGGGCTGCTCCCCGCCCTCTCACACTCTCTGAGCAACCACTTCCCTCACCTACTCCACCACCTGCCCCTCTCTCCCTCTCTCCCTCTCCCTCTCCCTCTCCGTCTTCTTCTCCCTCTCCCTCTCTCTCCTTCATTGCTCCATGCACACGCCTTCGCTAAGGACTGACTGTGCAGGAGGCGCAGTGCTAGGCCTCGATAGTGTCTCTGGGAACAAGAGCTTCCTGGTTCCAAACCTCGTGGAGTGAGCAGTCAAATGAGATTGGCAGCCATTGAACTAGAACAAGCACAACAGAGTTACAAGCCACAAGGGGACCCTTCCTTCACCCCACACGTAGCTGACGAGCGCCTGCTGTGTGTCACGTACTGTTCTGGGCTCCAAAGACGGGCAGAAATCCCCACGTTCACGGAGCTTACATCTGGGGGGGGGGGTGAGACAGGTCACACATGTGGCGTGTGGGAGGGCAGGAGCTGCATGGCCGGAGGGGAAAGCAGGGGAGGGAAGACCTGCAGGGGTGAGGGGGGCGGAGGCGTGAAGCAGCCCCTCTGAGAGGGAGAAACGGGACTCATTGAAGAGGGTGGGGAGGGAGAGCCAGGGAAGGCTTCTGAGGAAGGAAGAGTATCTGGAGGCCCAATGGTGGGTACGTTAGGAAGCCACAGGCTGGTCGGAGCATCCCAGTACCCAGCATGCCCCGAGGGAGCCCGGGGGTGAGCGGGAGCGTGCGTGTTGTGGACCTAGAGGTGTGCCGCGTGGCCGAGGTGCAGAAGGGGAGGGCGGAGGGGTTCCCCGTGGTCCTGGCCGTGTGGGCTTTGGCCTGAAGAGCCAGGCAGCGTGGTGAGCTGGCAGGTGAGCAGGCCTAGCTGGCGTTGAGACCTTTCTGGTTGCTGTGCAGAGAGGGGTCCGTGGGAGCAGGTGTGGAGGCTGGGAGACCAGCAGGAGGCCCAAGTCCCAGCCCGATGGGGGATTTGGCCACGTGGAGGTCAGTGTCACTGGCTGGTGCCGGGTCTGGGTGAACAGAGCGGAGCTCTGCTCCGGAAGACGCAGACAGAGGTCGCCAGAGGGCGCGTGGGATTGAGGGAGGAAGCCTTTTTTAATAAGAGAGGTATTAAACCGGCGGTTTCCCAATATTAAGGTTCTTAAGACTCACTTGGGGAGCGTATTTAAAACCCAGATTCCCAGCGTGCACCCCGAGAGCAAGCATGTCGGACTCGCTGCTTGCGGGCCTCAGCCTGAGCCTGACATGCAGAGAGTCTGATCCATGGGTCTGTGGGTGAGGCCAGGACTTTGCATCTCAACAAGCCACCCACCCGGTGAACGCCCACCGGACAGACTCCGGGAGGGATGAAGCCCTGGAGCTGGAGGAGCTAGTCTCCTGTGGGGACCCTGGGAGGGATTCGGGCTGCTGAGGAGAGAGGACACAGCCTGTGGACACGGGGCATCGGAGTCTTTCTGTCCGAGGGGCCGTTTCCTCCAGGAAGAGGCCAGAGAGCTCGGCGGCTCTTTACCGCGCCTGGGGGAGGCTGGCAGAGGAAACGGGTCCAAACTGGGTCATCCATGTGGCCAGTCCCCTCGCTCAGGCCCAGGTCTTCTCATGCCTGCAGCCTTTCATCGTCTGTCTGGTCCGCAGCGATGAGGGTTCTGCTGGGCCCGGGCCATGGGCATGCAGCCATGCTTACAGCTTCGCAGCCCAGGAAAGCTCCACCCCGTGCTGCTCCGTTAGGGGAGCGTGGTGTCTGGAAGTCGTCAGCGAGTCGGCCACAGATGATGCCAGTGGTGTGCAGGGCACTGCCGGATGTATGTGACCGGCAGGCCCCCACAGAGCCCTGAGCAATGCCCGCGTTAGAGGTCAGGCGGTGGAGCCTGGGCGGGAGACAGAGAAGGAGCTGCCGAGGTCGGGAGCAAAGGCAGGCGTGTGTGTGTGAGGGGTCCCAGACCCCAGTGCATGTGGGAGCCTGTGTCCCTAGAGCAGAAAAGAGTAGCTCAAGACATGGGGCTGGGGCAGCCTTGGACCTCCTTCCAAGACACACCAACGCCAGAGAAGGACCCACCGCCATGGCCTGCTCCAGGCCGTGCTCCACACCACGGCACCACCACCCACCCACCTCCCTGATAACCCCTCCGACGGGCTCTCTCGGCTCTGTCGATAAGGTCAACAGTTCTGGACCTGGCCAGCCAGGGCCTGCAGGACAGGTCCTCTCAGCTGCATCTCTCCCCGCTCTCCTCCTGGGTGGTAGTACTGTAGCCATTCTAGCCTCCTCCTCATCTTTCAACAGTCCAGGCTCTCTCCTGCCTCAGGACCTTTGCACAGTCTGCTCCCACTGTCCAGACAGTTCTCTCCAACTCCGCTTGTTTTCCTGGCTACCTCTTTTTTTAAAAAAATATATTTTATTGATTTTGTACAGAGAGGAAGGGAGAGAGATAGTTAGAAACATCAATGAGAGAGTCATTGATCAGCTGCCTCTTGCACACCCCCTACTGGGGATATGCCCACAACCAAGGTACATGCCCTTGACCGGAATCGAACCCGGGACCTTTCAGTCCCCAAGCCGATGCCTACCATTGAGCCAAACTGGTTTCGGCTCCTGGCCACCTCTTGCTCATCTTTTAGTCTATTCTTAGGCATGTGGTCACACATGCTCAGGTCATTCAGAACTCCCTCATGTTGAGGACTCGCTGACTTGTAGCAATGGCTTGGGTACCTGTGCCTTGCTGCACTCAATGTCCAACTCGGCCAGCAACCACCTTGCTCATTCACTGCATGATCCCCAGGTGATGGCCATGTGCCTGGCACATATCCGTGACTAAATGAGACCTGGCACATACCCGTGACTAAATGAGAGCTCCTGGCCTCCAGACTGATTCTGCTGCAAACGAGGGGAGAGGGGAGGGAGAACATGAACCAGGAAAAGGAGGCGGGTGTGAGAAGGGCCACGGAAGTTAGACAGACAAGCCTGAGACGCTGGGCCCGTGCTGAGCCTCACCCCGGGGACCTGCTCTCCCTCCAGGCCTGTGTCCAAAACTTCTCGGAGTCACCCCTCTGGGCGCTGGAGAAGATCAAGAACGTCTTTAACGAAACGAAGAACCTCCTTAAAACGAACCAGAGCATTTTCAGCAAGAACTGCAGCGACAGCTTTGCCAAGTGCTCTGGCACAAGTGAGGCAGGTGAGAGCGTGTGGAAGGCCCAGGCCTGGGCGGTGGGGCATGGGGCTGCGGGGACCCCCGGAGGCAGCCTGGCGGCTACTCGTCTCCTGTGCGTGTAGATGTGCTTGTTTTGTGTACACGTGTGGCTTCGTGCGTCTCGGGGTGGTCCTCAGCACATGTCTCTTCTGACATGTGTGTGCATGTACATCTGTCTGCATGTCAAGGCATCAAGAAGGACCACGCTGGTGGCTGTGAGATTAAGGTGCGGGAGAGGGGGCCCCTCAGGGGGGGCCCCGAAGGCATGGAGGCTCCGGCCCCACAGGGCGGCCGAGCACACGGGGGTTCCGTGGAGAGAGCAAAGGCTGCTCCGCCTGGGAGCGTGGCCCTGGCTCTGAGAACCCCGCTGCCAATCACCAGGACACCAGGCTCCCGAAGTCCTCAGGACGCCCTGAGTGTCCCCTCAAGGGACAGGCTGGATTTGAAGTCTGAGCATCACTCAAACTCGCCCAGTGCTGGCACCGGCTGCACACATGCACCCTCCATGTCCTCGTCTCTGCGTCTCATGTCATGTGTCCGTGCAACCTTGCTCCCCGAGGCAGGGACCGAAGCCCTGCCACCTGGCGTCCGCCAGTGGCCAAGTCCAGTCTCTTTGTTTCAATGCCAAGGCCTCAAGCCTTGCCCACGATCCAGCCCCAGACATTCCCGCCTGTGGCCGTGGCCCCTGCTGTGCATGGCACCACCTTGCTGCTTCCAGCCGGTGCAGTGGGGCTTGGGGGGGAGGGAGGGGGGCTTGTGTTAGCCCTTGAGGCCTCTGCTCACCCCTGGCTTGGCGTCTGGCCACCTGGAACCCCAGGAAGAGCTGCGCTCTGGTCTTCCCCGACCCCCAGGCTGCACCTCTCAGTCCTGCTTTGTTCTCCCCCACAAGACCCTGTGGTTTGCACCTTCCCTGCTTGTGTCCGTCCTGTCGTGCCCTCTGCCCCAGGGCTGCATTAGCGGGTGCGGGGTCCCTCTCCCGTCCTCCGGGAACGCTGTGCTGGAGGCTGGTGACTCTAGCTCCCCCGTCTTTCTCTCTCCCTCTGTGGTTCTTTCAGATGTGGTGACCACGCCTGATTGCAACTGCCTGTACCCCAAAGCCACCCCTAGCAGTGACCCGGCCTCTGCCTCCCCGCAGCAGCCCCTTGCCCCCGCCACGGCCCCTGTGGCTGCCTTGCCCTGGGCCGGCTCGGAGGGGACAGAGGACAGCTCTCTTTTGCCCAGTGAGCAGCCCGTCCGCACAGAGGACCCGGGCAGCGCCAAGCAGCGACCGCCCCGGAGCACATGCCAGACCTTTGAGTCACCCGGGACCCCGGGCGCCGAGGGAGGCCCCTTCGGAGGTTCTCCTGAGCCCCCCGGAGCCGCCGTCTCTGGGACAGAGGACATTCTCAACTCCGTGCTGGGCGCTAACTGGGCCCTGGAAGAGGCCTCTGGAGAGGCTAGTGAGGGGCCTGCACCCCGAGGCCCAGAGCCCGCCCCCTCCGGGCGGGGAGGAGGCAGCGTGCAGGCGGAGGCCATCCGACACAGCAACCTCATCTCAGCGTCTCTACTCCGCGGACCAGCCAGGGGCCAGCCGCCAGCGGGCGTAACTGGCACCGCCCGGCCCAGGGTGGGCCCGGGGAGATCCACCGGCCAGGCCCGGAGTCGCACAGCCGAGAAGACAGACCGTCCACCCAGGACGCCTAGAGACGCGCGGGAGCCAGGCTCGGCCAGGCCCCTGCTCCTGCGCCCGAGAGGCCTCAGCCGGCTCTCCACCCTCGCCGCTGGCGCCCGGCCTCCCCGCAGCCACACCCGGGACAGCGTGCTGCCCCTCGGGGGGCCGCAGGGCCGGAGGAGCGCCCGGGCGCGGAGGAGCACCGCGGGGCTGGAAGGAGCACCACGTGAGGGGGCGGCCGCACCCCATGCCCATCTTAACCCCGTTCCTTTGACAGACGACCCGGCGCCCTCCACCTCCCCGGTCCTCCGCCCCCTGCTGCTGCCGGGCGGCGGCGTCATGCTGGTCCTGGTCCTGCTGGCCGTGGGCGGGCTGCTGCTCCACAGGCGGCGGCAGCGGGTAAGGAGCTGGGGGGCCGGGGGCGGGCACCTGCCGGGGACCGGGCGCAGCGGGTGGAGGAGCAGGTGCGGGCAGGCGGGCTGAGGGCCCGCCTGGGTCCTTCAGGTGCTCGCACCAGGAGGCTGGCTGAGCACAGAGGAGGGCAGGTGGACAGGGAGGGTTTCTCCAAGATTGGGGGGGAGGGGCCTCAGGGTGTCAGGTCAGCGGAAGGGCGGGGGCAGCAGGGAGCCGGAGAGGGTAACCCTGGACCAGCAGCACGTGGGGGAACGTGTAGACCAGGGCAGGGCCTGGGGCCGGGGCAGAGGAGACAGCCTAGCAGGGCGGAAATGGGGTCACGGGCACAGAGGCCTCAGGGAGTCACGTGGCTGGTTCCCACGTCTCAGTCTCTGGGGGAGCCCTGCCTGGGGATGGGACCCTGTCCCCCAGCCCCCCAGCTGCTCAGTGAGTGCCCTTTTCTGTCCCCAGAGCCATCGAGAGCTATGGATCATGGATTCTTCCCGGGAGCAGCCAGAGGGCAGGTGAGAGTCTGGGCTGGGGTGGCTCTGTAGGCGGCGGCGGGGGGGGGGGGGGGGGGAGAGAATCTTGGCACCTGTTTCTCCTCTATATTTGGGGGGACTTCCTCCCACGTACTCTGAGGCAGAGGAGCTTGGAACAGGATGGGGAGGAGAGGAGGAAGGGCCTAGGATTTCTCCTGGTTTCGTCCCAGGGTGAGGCCGGTCTGGGTCTCCTGCACCTGTGAGGCTTCGAGCACCTATGCGGGGGGCGGGGGGCCTCTTCGGGGGGTTCCTTGCTCCCCGATTCACTGGAGTCTGACGTCAGCCTGTGCTCCGCCCGCAGCCCCCTGGCCCAGCCTGAGGACAGACGGGTGGAGACGCCGGTATAGAGGGAAGGCTAAGGTAAGCCTCTGGTTCTGGGTCCCTCTGCACCCCTTAACATTAGCTCCGTCCTTTCCCCTCACCCTGACACGGGGATCCCACCGACACCCCCGAGACCCACACACCCGGCCCATCACCAGGGCGGTCACCCCTCCTTCCGGCGCTCAGGCCCCCCACCCCCTCCACCCATCCCCTCTGCATTGGCCGTTGCTGCTTCTTTGTTCAATAATTCTTCATTGTTGGAAGTATTACATATGCCCCTCGCCCTCCCAATTATGTGTTGGCTTCTTATTTCTGCCCTGAGCTTCTGCTCTCACTGCCACCACCCACACCAGAGCCCCAGAGCTTCCTGCCAGCTCTTCACCCTTCTGGAGAGTCTCAGGGTTTCACTTCAGACCACCCTCTCCACTGGGCCTCCAGACGCCCCCGGCAGCTGCCGCTCTGAGTGCCTCCCCGGCCTGAGCCTTCTCCCCAGCCCAGGGGGCCCTCCCTGCTTCCAATTCACGGAGCCACAGAGCCTGGTGTGGAAGGCTCTCTGAGGTCACTAAGGCCGAGCGTCCCACCCCGAGGGGCCTCCCCTCTGCCTCCCAGCGTCCGATCACGACCTGGGAGAGCCCGGCCAGCTCCCCGCCAGCTCCGCCAGCACCCAGAGGCCCGCGAGGAACCCTTCCTCAGGCGAGGTCTCACGGCTTCTCCGCCACCTCCGGGCCCCGGATGACCCTCCCTCTGCCAGGACAGCCCTCTAATGCCTAAAGCCAGCCACGTCCCCTTTAGGACTCCCCGCAGCTCCGTGCGGCCACGCCCCTCAAACACTCCTTATATGATGTGGTTTTCAGACCCCTCACCGTCCTGGTCGCCCTCCTCTGGACACACTCGTTTGTCACTGTCCCCTGCCAGTGTGGCCCGGCCTGGACACAGTGCTCCAGACGTGTCTGACCAGCTCAGAGCGCATGGGACAGTTCCTGCCTTGGCCTGGACAGTAGTGTTCTGCTATGCGCACAGATTAAGTTTGCATTAGTTTTTTTAAACAACTGCATCATATTGTTGTCTCGTATTTAGCTTGTGGTCTATGAAAAGTCCTAGTTCCCTTTCCCATAAGACCTCTGTCCTCCACTTGGACAGATTCATTGTTTTAACCAAAGACTAGTTTATACTCGTCCTTGTGAAAACTGCCCTGGGGGGTGTCTGCCCGTTACCGAGCCCCTGACATGGTCCCCTGCCCAGTCCCGTCTCCCTGGCCCTCCCAAGTGTGTCTCCCCCACACTGACCGGCCTTCTGGCGCCCTGGCCCACGTGGATAAAGATGTGACCCTCGCGACTCCTTGCCCCTGGCTCTCGGGCCAGGCGGCCCCGTCCTCCTCCCTTCCCTCTGTTCCGCCCACCATCAGCCATAGGAAGTCCTCCTTCCTTATGCCTCCTCTGGCCCCTCCTGTCGGTCACACCCCTCTGCCCTCCTGTATTTGGTTAATACTGTATCGATTTGCACTTACTCGGATGTTGTTTTTATACATTTCATTCCTTGTTCTATGTGTGTGTGTACATCCCGCACCCCGACTCAGGCTGTAAGCCCCTTGCGGGCAGGGACCGTGTCTTCCACTTTTTTGGCATCTCTCTTTCTGCCCCGGGTTCCGATACAAAGAGGGCTTCTCCGCACTCGGCCAAGCACTCAATAAACACGGACCGACGGCCTTCAGGGCTGGCAGATCCACCCATGGCCAGCTGTGTCTAGTTAACCAGCCTTCCGACTAACCCGTTAGCCAGCTAACCAGGTGACTCTGACTGACCAGCTGGTAACTGCCTAGTTGGTTACTTGTTGATTGGGGAGCTGATGGGCTAACTCAGTGGTCGGCCATCTGCGGCTCACGAGCCACATGCGGCTCTTTGGCCCCTTGAGTGTGGCTCTTCCACAAAATACCACAGCCTGGGCGAGTCTATTTGGAAGAAGTGGCGTTAGAAGAAGTTTAAGTTTAAAAAATGTGGCCCTCAAAAGCAATTTCAGTCATTGTCCTGTTGACGTTTGGCTCTGTGGACTGATGAGTTTGCCGATCACTGGGCTAACTGACTGGCTGGCGAACGAGTTGGGGCAACCTATCAGGTTTGACCCCAGGCCCCACACGAGCCAGCGCCTCAGGGCCTTCCCAGGCGTAGGGCACCAGGCCTGGCCACACCTAGGAGATGGGATCTGACGAAAGCTCTGCCAGGAAAGAGCACAAGTAACACATCTGGGCCCCGAGGCTGCCTGGTGGGAGCGGAGCATGGGTCAGAGGGACACTGGCTGGGTGGTCTCCGGCCCTGGCACTCGGAGTCTTGGGGAGAGGCAGGGCCAGCGCCAGCCTGATGGCCACTGTGCCAGGAGAGGTGTTGAGGAGCCCCAAAACCCTCCCACTCCCTGCCCTGTGGGAGCTTGCCCACTGGGCCCTCCTTCCCTGTGCCCAGCTGTGCCTCGTGTCCAGTCCAGCCCTCCAGAGCCTGGGAACGGGCCGGGAGCCAGAGCGCTGGTCCCCTCTCCCGCCCAGCCCGTCACAGCCTGGGCCAGCAGGGCCCGTGATGGCCCGGGAGGAGGGTCCAAAGGCAAGCTGCTGGCCGGAGCCCAGGGGATTTCTGGTCTGAGAACAAAGCGTTCTGAGGATGCGGGGCCAGGGGACAGGCCGGGGGCGGATGGGGAGAGAGCCGGGCCCTCCATCACATCAAGATGCAAGGAGGCCTGTCCGGAAGGAGGCTGCTGAGGGTGAGCTGCGATAGGGAGGGCGCGCCTGCTCCTGGGACCCCTCTAGTCCCTCCTCTGCGGTGCCCTCTGCTCTGCGGTGCCCAGTGCGGTGCGTGGCCCCTCGTGAGGCGTGCCTGGAGGCGGGCAGGGGCACACGCTTCGCTGGAGTTGGCAGGGCTCACCCGTGGCTCATTGGAGGGTTCTAAGGGCACTCGAATGCCCCCTTCCTTCCCTCAGACCCAAAGGCCAGCTTGGCAATGCCCCGCACCCCCGCTCAGACCCCGCCAGGCCCGGCCCGGCCCGGCCCCTCCCGCGGTGGCCCGTGCTGCCCAGGAGGAGGCAGGAGGAGAGGGCAGCCTGGCCCGCGGCCTGGCCCCCTGCCAGGGACAGCGGCCTGGCCCTTGAGGCGTCTGGGTGGCCGGGAAGGCGGGGGAGGGGCGGGAGGAAGTCCTCCCAGCCCACAGGAACGCCAGGCGCCCCCACGCGTGTCCCCGGCGACCCCTCCCTCGCTCCCCCTCGCTGATGGGCCTCTCTCTCTCCCTCTCTCTCTCTCTCTTCCTCTCTTTCTCTCTCTCCCTCTCTCTCTCTCTCTCTCCCTCCCACAGCTGGGCGCACAGGACAGTCTCTCCACGGCAGGAGGTGCTACGGGGCGTCCACCCGCCATCCTCCTGGGAATGTGACCTGCCCACCCGAGAGCTCCTGTCGGCCAGGACCCGAGCAGAGCGGCTGGGCTGGCCCCTCCACCCTCGACCCCCAGACTCTGGACGGACTCGGAGCGGGCCGGAGTCTGCCTCATGCTGCTGATATTTATCGTGGGCCCTGGAGGCCCCCATCCGCTTGAGGGGGGCTGGCCAGCCCCGAGGAGTCCCCTCGGCCCCCGGGGCTGTGCCCGCCTCCCGCCCCCTCCAGCCAGCGCCTGGGCCGGGACCAGCGGCCCGTGGACCGGACGGCGGGGAGGGCGCGGAGGACCCGTCTGGCGGCGAGGGATGGGTGCCCGCCCGGCGAGCAGGCACACGTCCCGAGAGATGTGGAGATTGGCAGGGCGGGACGGCGTCTCCCCTGGTTTCCTGGAAATATGGTTACGCCGGTGCCAGGAGCAGAGGGAAGGCCAGCCCTGCCCTCGGGACCTGCTGGGCTCTTGATGACAAGGTGAAGCCGAGGCTGGCCGCGGCCCCCCAGAACCTAGGAGCCGCCCCGGGGGCCGCACGGGGCGCCCCTCTCGAAGGAAGCCATTGCACTGTGAAGACCGGGCCCGCCTGCTGTACCGCCCGCCCCGCCTGCCTGGCCGACGATCCGCTGTCTGCCCTCTGCCCTCCGCCTCCCAGCTTCTGCACTGACTGCCGAGCCGGCCTCACCCGTCCCGCCGACCGAGGGAGCCCCTGGCCCTGACTCCCCGGGGTGGACGGGGCGGGCGGACGCCTGGGCCGGCGCCGGAGCTGGTCTCCAGGCTGCTGTGGGCCCAGGTTTCTGCATTTTGCACTTTGACGTTCCCAAGAGGGAAGTGACTGGTGGGAGGGAGGCGGGCGGGGCGGGCAGAGACAGTCACAGGGAGGGTCTCCGAAATGATGGGTACGCCCCTGAGGTTGGGGGAGGCGTCCACGCCCCTGACCCCTGGCCCCTGACCCCGGCCGCAGCCACCGCTGCCCACGGGCCCACAGGGCTGGGCGAGCAGTCCCCGGGAGGGGCCTGGTAGGCGGCCATACCTCCAGCTCTCACCCCCACACCCACTCAGGACCACCGTCTCTGTGACCAGGCAGGCCAGGTTGGTGGGGGGGGGGGGCGAGCATCTCTCCCCAAGGCTGCCTTGAGGGCCTCCGCTCCCTCGTTCCCTCTGAGCAGCTCCTTCCCTTCTCTCCCGCTGCCCTAGGCCCTCCCTGGAGAGACCACCCTGCTGGCCGCTGGGCAGGGCCCCCACTCCCCTTCCTGCCCTTGAAAGTGAAGGTCCTGGCCCTGACTGTGAGGGAGGAGCAGAGGACGCTCGGGGGGGCTCTGCCTCCCCGTCACAGACTCTGTGTTTGACGCCAGAAAGTATGAATTTAAACGTGGAAGGAAACAAGTGCAGAAAAGGGCATTCCTGCTTCCCCTCCCCTCAAACATATAGTATTTTCAGAGTCAAGAGAGCTAAGAGCTTCCTTCCCGAAGGGGGTGGCTTTGCTTTCCTGCCTCGGGCGGCAGGGCCCCGGGCCGCCTCAGGGGGTCCCCCGCCCCCCGCCGGGCCAGCCGCCCGGGACCCCTTCTTTTCTCCGAGAAAGCCGAGAGGGAACATGGGCTCACACACTGTGAGGTTTTGTTTTTACACTTGGAAGTGATGAATTATTTTATATAAAGTCATTTAAATATCTATTTAAAAAAATAGGAAGCTGCTTATATATTTAATAATAAAAGTGCACAAGCTGCCACGTGTGAGTCCTTGGAAACGTTGTTTTTGGGGTGGAGGGTGGCGAACGAAGCGGGGGGGGGGGGGGAGGGGGGGGGCGCGGCATCCGCTGCTGGGTGAGACCCGCTCAGAAAGCTTTTCAGAAGACTGGGGGAAGGAAGGTCCTCTCTCTCCAGGCTTCGGCCTTGTTACCCAAACCTCCCGCCCGCCTCCCGCTGCCCAGACACCCTCCTCTGAGCATCTGTTTAATAGGGAACCCACAGCGCAGCCAGACCTCGGCCTGGCCTCGCCCCTGCCGCCCAGCCTCGCCCAGCCTGGGAAAATGGCCGGTTGGGCTCTGTCCAAGGGTGAGGGGCCTGCCAGGACCAGGCCCCTGACCTCTGACCCCCGCTGGCCAGGTCCTGGCAGAGCTCTGAGGTGCATGGGGAAGGTCTCCGGGCTGGGAAGTGGGTGAGGCTGGGAGGGGGAGAGAGGCAGCAGGTTGTGTGAGGGGCCTAGGGCCTGATCCTACTATGAATGGAGAGGATGGTGGGTGGAGGGGGGAGGCGTGAGGGATGCTGGCGGGGCAGGCGATGGAAGCCCAAACGCACACCCTGGGCCAGGCCATGACAAGAGGGGCCGCTCCACTCCTGAGAGGGTGACAGACAAAGTCTTGGGTCACTGGTTCTCGTCCCCGAAGAATCCCTTGGGTTGAATCAGAAGACACGATATCCATGCTCCGCCCAAAGAAACTAAACCAGAATCTCCCTCCTCTCTGGTTTCAGGGTGTGTTAACCGAGAGCCATTGCTGCCAAGTCACTGCAGCGTGGCAGCCCTGAGTTGAGCATCTGCCCCTGGTGGTCAGTGTGCATCATAGCAACAGGTCGGACAGTAGGAAGGACATTTAGCATAATAGCCATATATATGTCTATGTCTATGTCTATGTCTATGTCTATGTCTATATCTATATCTATATCTATATCTATATCTATATCTATATCTATATCTATATCTATATCTATATCTATATAAGATAGATAGATATTTACAATAGATAGATAACTACAATTCATGAGCCATGCAGAGAAGGCATTTTCAGCAGGGGGTTTCCCAGCTTCTGATGGAGATGGGGCTGGTCTAGAATCCTGACTGACCCCTGGGCTATGGATTGAATGTGTATTCAAGGCCTTTGCGCAAAGATTGGCAAAAACACAAACAAAACAACCCCCCAAGACCAAACAAACCCTGCCGCCCACTGGCCTCCCCAGAAGCCCCTGGAGGCATCCGGAAACAGAGGCCGAGACCTCAGCAAGCCTCTCCTGGGCCTCGGAGGCCAGAGCTGCTGGAGGAATGCCACCCACAGAGCAGCAGTCCCTTTGAGGCAGAGCCAGAGGCTCAGGTAGCTGGCCTGGGTCTCTGGCTGCTTGGCCTGTGAACGTGGGCCAGCATTTCACCTCCCTGACCTCAGACTTCTCATGTTGTACAGCTTTAAGGACGCAAGCCAGGTACACCCGGGCCGACGTTCAAATGGGAGGCACGTGTGCACGCCAACGGTCTGCCCCCACATTCAGCGTGTTCCGTGTTGCCCCGTCGGTGGGTCTCACGGAGGCCAGACCGCACACAGCCCCCTCTGGGCAGGCCCTGGGGACCCAGGATGCTGCCAGGGCCCGGCTGTTCTCAGTGGCAGGTGGCAGAGCTGGGTGCTTCCAGCTGGGGTAAGGATCCCGGGGTTTCTGGCTGGAGGGAGGGAGGGAGGGGGCAGGTAGGAGTCCGGAGGAGGAAGTAGGGTGGGTTGGATGCCCGTTCGTGGGCAGGGTCAGCGACTCGGGTTTTACATGTGCAAGCCGAAGGTCCCGGCCAAACCCCAGGCCGTCATCCGGCCACAGAGAGGAAACTGAATCAGGCGACCAGGAAGAGGCCTGAGGTTAACCTCTCGCAGACAGCGGCCCCCCGGCAGGGGAGGGCTCGCCGGGTGCCTGGGGTCCGGATGGGTGTCTGACAACCCCTCAAACAAGACTTGAAGTGTGGGCAGAGGCCAGGCAGCCCCGAGGCCCGGCAGCGTGGGCACAGGGCCCCGCTTCCCTGCTCCGGGGAGGTGCCCTGGTTTTCGGCTCCAGTTTCTGGGAGGGGGCAGGTCAGGCCCTGCTGCCCTGGATGCTGGGACCGCTGAGGGGGCAGGAGGGGCACGCCAGCCTGGAAAGCCCCGGGGCAAAGTGACCGACCACAGAGAGCTCGCTGCCAGCGCCCTGCAGGGCCGTGGCCGCCGTGGCCGTCCCTGGCCCAGGACCACGGGGCAGCCCACGTGGGTAGGTCGCCGCCGGCAGGCACCAGGGCTGAGCCGGCTCGTTGTCTCTATCAGGAGTCCAGGAAAAGAGTCTGTATCCCGTCAGAATGACACTGACGTTAACTTAGCGGATTGTTATAACGTAAGATGCTAACGGCGCCTCCCAGGGCAACCGTTGAGAAAACAGTAGGAAATATGGACGGAAAGAAATGAGAAGGGAATTCTGATGCCATCCCTGAGTGTTCTTTGAAAGCCTCTTCACTCTCAGTGACCCGCTGGGGAGCCCTAACTCCAGAGGAGGGTCGAGGTGCGCATGCTCCTCCCCCCCCACCCCATGCACCGCCCTTCCTTTAAGATAAAATGCCCCACGTCCCTTCGTTTTCCAAGCACTTTCCCAAATAAGACCCCATTTCTTCATCACAAAAACCCTGTGAGGCAAGCTTTATCCTATCCGCCTTATACGTGAGGGCTCTGAGGCTCTGAGCGGTTCGGGAAGTAGCACAGCCAGCGTGAGAGGTGGGACTACACAGAGGTCTGATTCAAGCACAGGGCTCCTTCCTCCGAGTTCAGCTCAGCACGTGGCCCCCAGGATGCTGGCTTCCTTGTCCTTTGCTCCTTTTCCTAAAATTTAAAATATCAAACATGAACCAAAGTAAAGAGACAGTACAAGGACCCAGCACTCAGCTTCAGTCATGATGGGCAATATCGTCCCATCCATCTCGCCGCACACTGTCCTCTGCCCTCTGCCGTTATTTTGAAGCAACTGCCAAGTAGATCCTTTCAAGTGTGACATTTTCAATACGTGTCTTTACAAGGTAAGTGTTTGTTTTTTAAAAATGTAACCACAGATACTGTGATCACTTCTGAAGAATAATTCCTTAATATGATCAAGTATCTATATGTTAGTGTTTTAATTTCTCTGTCTCTTTTTGAAGTTTGTTGACTATGGGCCCAACTATGATGCATACTAGTACAATGCAATTGGTATTTTTCATGTAGAGAGTTCCCCTCCCTCTTACCCCAAACCTCTACAAACAGTTTATCTGCTGAAAGAAAGAAAAAAAAAAAAGGATCAGTTGTGCTGCACAGCTTCCCAGAATCTGGCTCTTTCCGATCGCAGGGCCCTAGGGTCACCAACGTGTCCTCTGCTTTTGTAAATGGCGGTTAAGTCTGAAGACTCGACCAGATTCCGGTTCAGTGACCAGGAAGTTTACAGACGGACCATCTCCCTGGTCCTCATGACATTCTTATCTGTAAAGCCTGGTGGCAGTTTAAGAGTCTGCTGCCAGGGGAAATTACATAACGGCAGTTCACTGTGACAGTGGGCTTTAGTGCAGTCACGAATAATCATCGTTTCCAAAACGTATTGAGTGGCATGGGGAATGTATATTACAGAATGTTAAGAAAAGAAGCAGGAATCAAAAAACCTCCTATGGTTACACAGAGGGAAAAGAGGAAAAGGAACCGCTAATTGCGGGGGGGGGGGGGGGGTTATGCTAACAGAGGCTTTAGAATTAGGGGGGGTGTATTTTCTTCCTTTATTCTTTCTGTAGAGGTCAAGTGTTAATAATATGTGCAGTGTGACCAAATGAACAAACGGCCGCTGGGTTGCTGGCTGATGACTGGCTTCTGATGTCTCTGAAGCAGATGCTGGCTGCAAAGGCCAGGCTGTGGGTCACGGGGGTGGAGAAAAGGGTGTCAGAAAGGCCCTGGAGACGCCTCGGCTTAGCTGGCCTGGTCAGTGGGCGCGGGTCTTCAGAATGTCCAGGGCCACCACTGTGCCTCCTCCACATCACTCCTCACAAGACTCCCACGGCAGCCGAAACCAGTTTGGCTCAATGGATAGAGCGTCGACCTTCGGACTGAAAGGTCCCAGGTTCGATTCTGGTCAAGGGCATGTACCTTGGTTACAGGCACATCCCCAGTAGGGGGTGTGCAGGAGGCAGCTGATCCATGATTCTCTCTCATCGATGTTTCTAACTATCCCTCTCTCTTCCTCTCTGTAAAAAAATCAATAAAATATATATTTTAAAAAAAAGACTCCCACTGCAGAGACACCATCCCCCCAACAGTGAGCACAGCTGGGGACAGCTCCGAGCCCATGGAGCAGGGCTAGGCAGGGCCTAGCCCCCATTCGGGCATGCTGGGGTCCCTCCGCCAGGACAGAAGGACCAGGCTGCAGGTTTGAGCCAAACAAAGAAAGAAGTGAGAATTCCATTCATGATTTCAACCTCCTGCTTCCCAGTCCAGGCTAGCCCAGATCAGAGCCCTAGAGCAGGCCTCAGACACTGGTCCACATGAAAAGAAGGTTAGATGTAAAGGTCCTGGGCCTGTTTCTAGTTCCGACATTCTAATCATTTCTGGAACCAGGCCCAAAGTTCCTGGGCCATTGGAACTAAGCCAGAGAGAGAGAGAGAGAGAGAGAGGGAGAGAGAGAGAGAGATTCCTCATTCATAAATGATCATTTAAATTTTGTCCTCACATGTATACCATCATACCGTCAGATTGTGGCATAGATGTATAGATGTCACACACACACACACACACACACACACACACACACACACACACAGCTTGTGAGAGCCACACCACAGCCCACATTCCACTCATGCATTGCGACTCCCGGGAAACCGCAAATCACTAGGGTGACCCTCTGCCAGCCAGTCTCTTCCGTGTTATTCCTGGTTGCCGTTAAGTGGATGATAGATTTTTAAAACGTTTCTTTTTCTGTTTATCAAGTTGGCACAAGCTAATTACAG